TGGTACCAGACTTACTTGTATTTGATACCTTGTTTTCCATAAATCATGGAGGATCCATTTAGAAAAACAGACTCAGGTCAACAAACCCACTTTGCTTTTGTTTACAATCTCCAGATAAAACTAATCACTTGTTAAAATACAGATTATAAACAATTAAAAATATTACTCTAAAAATACCATGTAACAATAAAGTGTAAAAATCTGACACACAAAGCTGTCCAGCAGACTGCAGGCAATGTTTTAGTACAAAGTAACATGAAGCAGAACAATACCTTTTCTGCCAGGCTTCATTTCACCTTCTTGATCCATCCAATATTCTCTAATATCAATTAAGACTTTCCCTTTAAAGTCACGAACACTGACATACCTCATTTTGCCAATCTGTCAAAACACATATAAGGGTCTTTTAGGTATTTACATATTACAGCATTCACTTTTCCCAGCAGCATCAGACTCAGACATGTGACATTGCACACTGCAGCTTATTTTAGACACCACAGAAACAACTAGATCAAAAGCTTAATCCAGAGTAGTCAGTAGGATAATAAGTAATGACAATATAAATGGATAAACGACTTAAAACACATTGAGCATTCAATGCTCAATGCAAAAGTAGCTCTCCTAGAATAAAAATACCTATATTCTTAACAAGCCTACATCTTACAAAAGCCACTAATTTACTGTTTTCTGAAATAAAATTTTACCTGTGTTATAACCATCTTTGTTTGCAGCAGTTGCCCAAATCTAAATTTTAATCCATTCCATATGTACAAAAATCAAGTTAGATATTCACATGAGATAATTACAATTTCTAGAGGAGCTTTTGTTTGGGTTGTTTTTTTTTTCTTTTTTTTAAACACAGTAAATACAAATGGAAATGAAAGTAAACAATCAACTGTCCCATGCCTGCTCCCAAGTCCTCATGTCACTTCACTGGAACTGTGGCTAGAAGACTACCTCACTGCACCAAGTGTTTCAAAAAAATATCCAATGGCTTTTTTTTTGGAGGGGGGCAGGGACAAGCACACCGACAATCACGCATTACACTACACGTCTAGGTTTATTAAAGATCTTTCCAAATTTGCTAAAAAACTATTAGTTCACATAAATTCCAAGTATAATGTGAATGTGAGAATCAGAAATTAGATAATAAAACCACCATCAAATACAACCCATGTAAAAACTTCTTAGAATTCTGGATACACTTTATGAAGAAAGAACACATTCTAAAGTAAACAAATTTAAAATTGAATACTCCTTCCTGATAAAACATTTTAACTTTAGTTTTCAGCTTCCTTAGTTGATGCATTTTGCATGTTGATATAACTTTAAAAAGGCCCAAACACATCTTACTAGCATTAAGTCTGACCAGAAAGCTTAAACAACTTCAATCAACTAAAATAATCCACAGATGCTTAAGTCATAAGCTGTTATTTCACAAAATATATATAAACAAGAAGGCTTTATGTTTGCTTAAAATATTTTTTCTTCTTATGTAGATCATGTTAAATTAACTCTAAAATTTATTTTAAAAACAAGTAGAACACCTTTCGATACCATAAGCCTGAAGCAGTTTTCCTACTCTGAAGTATCCTTTAAAATTAATAAGACATACAGTCTGTAAGATAGTATTTTTGATTGATTTATTAAATACTTTCACAGTACTACAAATTTAACATCAAAAAATAAGGTATGATGTCATGTTAGCCCTAGTTCTTTCAGACCAAACTTGGTATCACGCCCAGGTCTGTCAGCACTGCTGGCAGAGGATATCCTAAATAGCCTACATGAATAACATTTCTTGGTTTTACCCTGTAACGCTTCAGTGACTTTTAAGGTCACCTCTAAGAACAGCTTCAGGTAGCAATACTCCACAACACCTTTTTTTTTTTTTTTTTTTTTTGGGTGCTATCAAAAAATGTTAGTACATTGCCAAGTAATTCCAGATTTCCTCTTAAGAAATAAAATCTGATACAACATAGCACATTACAGCTGCAAATACAGTTTAAAAGTTTAAGAGTTCAATTTTAAGGATAAAATTGTATGCCTTAAATTCAGCTACAGTAAGGCAAGGGGCAATAACCCAGAAGTTCACACTTCCTCAATCAGTAAGTCAACTCTAAATGGAAACAGTTCCATATGAAAATGCTGAAATTTAAGTTGGGTTTTACATCGCTGTCTAGATTTCAGCTAAATACTCACATTAAATTTTGAATGTTTAGTTGAACTCCATGCAAAACAGCTAAAAGTTTTAAATGGGCTTCTAAAGCACAGTTTCAGTTAACATCTAAGGTTAAAAGCCCCAACAAAAATCTAGATTTAACTGTTTAAGTAAATTCAAGTTTCTTGATCTTCAGTTACTAGCAATTCTGGCACAGATGCATTTCTGAACTTTTTTTTTTTTTTTTACACAGCAGCTGAAAGTCCTAGAATAATTTCACTGTTCTAAAACACCTTTGTGTCTCTATAACCACGGTAGTATTCCAAGGGTCATATTGACTTATTGTAGCATAGATACCGCAGTTCAACCTTCACAGGCAAGCTCATATGATTCTTATTAAATATCACAGCTCCTTATACTATTCCATCGAATTATATAAATCAGAAGACATTAAAAGCATTATTTCCAGGTTTCTGTTTCTTAGAATAAAACGCACTGAACTGTGTCTCGGTTCCTTTCACAGCACTGCAACTGACTTCCTGTATGAGTTTCAGCAACCACAGCAAAACAGCAAAAATCACCCTTCTGTCTTAGCTGATAACCATATGTAAAGCATTGGAAGGAGCACGATAAAGACTCCTGCAAACAGCGAGATCAGCAACACAGCAAACTGATCGCACTGGTGACTACCCCAGTTTCAGAATGAATGTGCTAAACCCATCACCTTTCCAAAGCATCATAAACATATATTTATTTACTTTTAAGAGCCTATGATAAAGACATTACACTGGGAAACTGAAGAACTTATTTCTCACAAGTCAAAAAGCAAATACAACCCAAACTTTTTTTTTTCTTTTTTTTTTAAAGTAGGGGGGCAGGCAGGACAATACACAGATGAACAACTTTAAAGTAACAATTTCAGTGAAATGCCTGATTTTGCGATGTAGGTCCACTCTGGATAGTCATTAATATGTATCCTAACAGCATTACAAACCTTATCCAAATCAGGCATAGGTAGATGACAGGATCTGTCAAACTAACCAAAGCACATGATGTAGAGATCACGTTGGCTTGAAGCCACGGCTAGGAATCTACTGTATCAACACTAAATCCTTACACATTAACATGAATAATGCTTGTCCTTAGGGCTTCTAGTAATACATCATAAATGGGAGTAAGATAAATTTCTGCACCCCAACTGCACCCAAATGCTTTAACAAATTTCAGAGTTTCAAGAATACCATTACACCACCATTAGTCTCAAAAAAAACCCCAAAAACATAGATCTTTATGAAAACGCTCAATCTTCTGAATACTGCTGTCAGAATGAGCTCTATATTAAGGGAAGCCTTTAAGAACACAGACTGAAAGTGTAGAACAATAAGCCTCTAAGTTTCACATCATTTGCTGCCACTTCCACACGCAATATGGATGCCACAGAACTTCTGACTATCCTGGGAATGCTTTACAGGCCAATTTACATCAACTGAAGCCACACTGGTAAGTTATAATGCAAAGTTACTTGTACATCAGAGATGACTTTACCATCATGGGAAAGCAGAAAGGATTGTTGCTAGTATTACTAATAGTCCTAGAACAAATAAAACCATACCTAAAAAAATAACATGCAACTAGATCTTCTAGCATGCTCTCCTGGGTAGGGGGGAAGAGAGTGGAAGTATCCTCAGACCTAGAGTGCTATTTCTACACTGAAACAATTGCATCTCAGTTAATGCACATAAGCTGATGGAGCATGAAAAAAACTCACAATGCTTCACATAACACAGTAAGTGATCTAAAAAAAATGTTGTTGACTAACTAAAAGGCAGGCAGAGACTAAGTAACACCGATGTTTTAGGTCAAGGTGATATTCAAATATTTCTTCTGTATTATACTCAACACTGGAAAAATCCCGTTCTTATCAGACTACTAGGAGTGCTCTACTGTCTTTTTTTAGTACCTTTTTATTACCTTAGGTCAAAATGCTGAAAGAAATCAGAGCACGCAAATACTGCTGCTTTTCTTTGAAAGGGTTTGGGTTGTTTTGGGTTTTTTTGCATCAGGGGAGCATTACAAATTTTAACTGCTTTCCTCAATGCTGGAATTTCTGAACTTACTGCAAACATAGCATAAAGCTTATACCTAGTTTTTTTTTTTAGTTCACCTCATTAAGTGTAGAAGACACTATCTTATTTTTCCTACATGGCTCAAAGCATACGCCAGCAGAACTAAAAATATTCTTCCTTCGATAGGGAAGTCCGGGCATTGCCTTCAGTTGAAGATGTGCCTCCCAACTCTACACTGAGAGGAAAGTGAGAGTCGATACATTAAAAATAACCACGCTGTATTACAGTATCAATTAAGCAGGTCTTCTCTCTAGAAAGATTTTTTTTGCCATATTACTTTGCACAGCTACAGCCCAAAACCATTTATTTTGCCTTACTTGGTGTTGGAGCCATCTTATTAGGCACCTCTTCCATACCCTTTCACAAACTTAAAGTCTCTAAGAATTTAAGTTCCTTTCCAGCTAGCTAGTCAAAGACATTTAGTTAAGTCTTGATCCACACCCCTAAAACAGATAACACTGAGCTACATAAATTCTTGCACAGCTTTCAGCACATACTGCTACTGCCTCAGCTAACCCCAGGAACTGCAATACTCTGAATTCACACACGCGTCTTAGTACTGAAGAACGTACGTTCGCCTCATCTTAAAAACAAGGACAATGTCAAAAATCACAACCCTTTTGGATATCAGGTGAGAAAAACCTGCATCATAAAAAAAAGAATAAGTAAAACTTATTCCAAGACACTGACTTATAATACAGGAACCAAGCTGCCCTTGACCTAGTTAAGAAGGAATGAAGAATCCATAATTTGGCTTCCAAGAATCTATCTTTCAAGAGCCCTGATTAAAAACATTTCCATGTAGACATCATCCTGATGTCACATTTACAGTATACTTATGGTAAATGCTGTATTTACAGACAAAATGACTACCCAGAGTCACCATGAGCAAAGAAATAAGGGTTAGATCAACTGCTACAACTCAGATTCTTTTACTTTGCTGAAACCTGACAATGCTTTCTCTGAGAACCTTCATCTGCATGCTAGCATTGTAATCCCCTTTGGCCAAGGCTTCAGGAGACCAAGCACCACGCTGTCAAGATATTCAGATCACCTCATAAAATTTACACTGAATATGATGTAACATGTAACCTTAACCAGTCTCCAAGATTCAATTTTACCTGAAACATATTCTCATCTCTGTTACTGCTTTGCTTAGAAGAAGCTGCACCTTTTGAACTTTCACCAGTCTTTTGTTTCTTTACAGGCTTTTCTGGAGCTGCTTGCTTTTTCCGCTTTACCTTGGAGTAAGAATAAAAAAAAAAGAAAAGCATGAACCACAACTCATTCTATAAGTTACAAAAAAGTTTATGTTAGAAGTCACAAGACACTACTGTGCAATGCACATTACCACGTGCCTTCTGTGAAGGCAAGAATCCAATACTTCACATTTAGACTGGAATTTAAAAAAAACCCAAACAACTTAAAATAAGCCTAATTCTGTTCCCAGTGAAGTTTAACATAATTCTTTGGCTTTAAAGAGAAATTAATTAGATCAAAATACATTTTAAAAAGCCTACTCTTTCTGTGCAGTAATACTGCTGATTCAGTAGTCTGAATAAAAAACTCTAAAGTCTGATGGGAGTTTCACTTTCCTTTCCACCAAGCGCAACAAAAAATGCAGGACAGATTACAACTCTTCTACGAAAGAAAAAATAACAGATGAGATAACGAAGAAAAGATTTGGAAATCACCTCTGTCAGAGTAACTTTATTTTTTTTTTAAATCAGTGTCAAATCTCTGTCCACAGCATGATAAATTAAGCATTTTTTAAAACATTCACATTATATCACCTGTAAATCGGATTACCCAGAGATGCAACAGAGTTACTATTTCTACTAATGGTTATATAGTAACTGGGCCCATCCTCAGAAAAAGTCCTACAAAGCCACCAAAAATCAGTCACCTGCTAGAACCATATTGTGGATAACCTCAAAAAGTTCCAACAAATACAGGAGGTTGTATTGGGGGGG